CTGAGAGTGCGTCCCGATGTTTGTACTTGGATTTAGATTTGTTCTTGATCAAGATAAACAGAGAAATCCTAAATCGTCGCCTGATCTATCCTACTTCCACTCTAAACTTATCTTCGAATTTCACACTGGCATCGCGTGATTTGAATCGCTTGCGATATCGATAAACGTAGAAACCTAATCTAAATCTTGACTGTCGAGTATCTGGAACGTCGATAGAGGCTGAGATTGATCTAAGCTCAATGGATGGAGAGAGAGAGAGAGCAACGTTCAATGGCTGCCAGTTGTCTCGTGTCGCGCAAGGTGTCAAGGACCTCGTGTCTAAAATTGTACGCGCTCACGTGTCCCGGAGCGGTCACGATCAAGTTGAAGGTCGACCTCTCTCCTTCGCCCTTCTTCCCTTCGGAAGACCCTTCGCGCTCCAGCAATGCGGAACTCGCGCAGTCAAGGTCACCGCGCAAGGTTCTTGCTTCTTTCTCCTCTCTCTGAAACTGGACCCAAGTCCTTTCTCTTTCGCCATTTCTTCTTCTTTTTTTCTCTCTTCTCTGCCCTTCTCTCTTTACGCGTTTATGGTTCAGGATGGAAGATGTCACTTCTTTCCCGAGCCTCTTCTTCTCCTTTATTTAAGCATCCATGCAGTTTAACTTTCATTTTATATGGCTTTCAGAATACCTTGTACATTTCTTTATTTCCAAATAGATAAAGTGACTCGGGAAGAAATGGCGACGGTGAATGAACTTTCATCGCGCATTGCTAAGTCTCGATATATTTTTAAGGTGGACCACCGTTACGCGTGACTTAGAATTAGCTCGTAAGTCAACACGATGCTTCGAAAAATAAATTATCTCCTCTTACTTACTCTTGAAAACTTGTTATCGCGAGACACACGAACTTGAAGTCGAGCGTTTCAGCAAATAATATAATCGTCGGTCTTAATTGAATTAAGTGAATCTCGGCTGAATTCGTCCGAGATTGGTTTCGAAATCGGTGCGTGTCGTATCGTAACTTCTTCCGCATCTTCGGTCATTTGCATCGAGCATTTGCGTCGCAGGTTTTTGCCCCCTTTCTTCCCGCTCGTTATGGGTCGTTTCTCCAACGGGCGGAAGAACAAAGCCGGTGATTTTCCAGAAGCAAGACAATTACCCTGCGCCAGGCAATTAGCAAGCAACAATCTGGGAGCCAGCGTGGCTCTAAGCTCGCGACACTCTTCCATTCCCGGGTATGAAAACAAAATTTAAAAAAATTAAACAGTATAGATAGCCTGTTCTGTTCTATCTTGCTCCATTCAATTCAAGGAGATCAAGCAAAGAGACTTTCTCTGGTTTCGTCCCTTTTTTAAGCAAACTAGCAGTATTTAAAATGGGGAAATGTTGGAAAAGCAACCGGTCGCGTTGCCAACTGCGAATTGACACGTACAACGACGAGATCTGTTGCGCTTCAGCAATGCGGAACTGCTGGCCAAGGTCGCGACATCGCTCCTTCTTTTCTCTCTGTCTTTCTTCAGCTAGTCCTTCGCCATGATCGTCTGACTTTCCGTTATGCTTCAGTCGCAGCATCGCCGTTTATCCAGTCTGCCTTCCACGGTTTCACTTCCGCCGGAAGTGCTGCTCGGTAACGGGTCATTTTCCGCGGGACTTTCCAAGAGGCGAGCGGACTGCTTCCGGAAACTTTCCTCTTTGCGACTTTAATGTCGTGGTGCATCTTGTGATGTTCCTCGTTCGCGAGGGAACTGGATTATTGTTTGGAAAGTTCGAGGCCTTGTTTAATCAGAACCAGGAGATCAGCATCGCTACTTTTTCCCAAGCTTAAATCGATTTTCATTAAATTGAAATTTTCAGAAATTGATTCTCATTCTATCATTGTATTCGTTGCTTTATCTATTTAAATCGTACCATCTATCAGAACTTTTCCAAGTTATTTTCCTCTCTGCAGGGAAATCAATGTTCATTAAATTGAAATTTTCCAAACTTGATTCATAGTCTACTATTGTATTCGTTGTTTTATCTATTTCATAACAGCTATCAGAATTTTTCCAAGTTATTTTCCTCTCTGCAGGGAAATCAATTTTCATTAAATTGAAATTTTCCAAACTTGATTCACACTCTATCA